GACCTGGCCAAGTTATGATAACATTACTAATGATTTCATTTCACTAGTTAATCAGGATGGCAAGACAGTAACAATAACATTGGGAAGGGTTTAGTTCTTGCTGGTTGCTTTTATATGTAGAAATCTATGTTCGGAAGGATTTGGGTATCTCTATAAAGATATGTTTTTAATATTCTTATTGAAAACAGTGCCTCTTAAGTTTCCAAATATCCACTGCATTAGGTGTATTTTCCCTGAAGGTTCAGGGTGTTTCCTTTCTAGACACAAACATGCACACATACTGAGGGAACCATAAAGGACGGAGCCTTCCAATTCCTTCTGTGCAGTATCTCCTGAGCAAAACTCTGCAAATATGTGTAAATGATCACATTTACAAGAGTAAGAATAGACATTTTTTGTGAACAATTAAAATTATGAAACACTGAGATTATCTGTTAAACATATTTTTACCATTAAATTCATATTGTTGCAAACTTAAAAATTTGGCTCAAACATCCCTTGGTTAGTCAAGGGATCTTGAATAAGATTGTAATATGTATATCTTCTAAAATATTTTACTTTTTATAGTTTCATTTTAATTAGATATGTCAATGTGCTGCTGGAAAAGAAAAAAAAGACAATGACCTAATTTGTCTAATGTCTAATTGACATACTTGCCATACATTGAAATAATCATTGGTTATAAAAATTATTTATAGTATACAAATTATTTCGGTCTCACTTCCTTTTTTAAAATTTGTATTGTGTTTACATGTGTGAGTATACTCACTTAGGGACCTGCAAAATCATAAAAGGTTAAACAAATTATGAATCTGGAAGGTGACAATAAAATTTAGCAAAACCAAATGTGTTTAGTGTCTATACGATACAGATGCCCTTGATACATTTTACCATCAAGGATGATAGAACAACTTCTCTTTAAGGCTGAGACACTGTACCACTTTAGGAAGTCAGTTGTTCTTTTCCCAGACTTGCTTTTTATTCTCTCACTTCTTTTTTGATGCCAGAGATATCAACTTGCATATAAGGAAAGCAGCTATTTAAAATAGTTTTGTTTAGGGGTGCCTCAGTGACTCATTCGGTTAAGTGTCCTACTCTTGATCTCAGCTCAGGTCATGATCTTATGGTTTGTGAGCAGAGCCTGCTTTGGATTCTCTCTCTCTCTCTCTCTCTCTCTCTCTCTCTCTCTCTGCTCCTCCCCCCTCAAACTAAATAAATATTTTAAGAAATACAAAAATAAAATCATTTTATTTGGCCACCTTAATTTACCACCGTACTAGAAGTTATAAGGTTAAATTAATCCATATTGATATTCAAGCCACTTCTTTCAGGCAGAGCTTATATATTGTGGTCTCTAAATACTTCGCAGTGTTCAATGTTTTAAAATAATGGTATTTTCATATCACTTAAAAAATAGAGACATAGCTAAAAATAGACTTAGAAAAAAATTCTTATTGAACTTGTGTGAAAAAAAATGGAGCCTGGGACAGAGAAGCACTATATTTGGATCTATTGTTAACTTTATTTTCTTAGGCTAATTATCTAACCTTTCTGATTTCCAGTTTCTCAGTCTGAGAAGTGAAGTATCTTGGCTTACATGGAGGATTAAATGAGACAATAAACATAAAAGCGATTTTTCAAAAATTTGAACATTCCTATATAGGTAGAACATAGAGTTCTGTTAATTTTACTTTAGTCTTGAAATAACTGATGACCCTTTTAATCTGAGTACTATGTTCTTATTATATTTTTAACTCAAACCTCCAACAATCTCTCTACCAAAGATTTTTCTTTATCCTATGACAATTTGGATTAAATTGTCAATTTAAAATGATTACATGTTAGAAACTATGAAGACAAGAGATATCTCTATACTTTAGAATAATAGAATTTTTAAAAATTCTTTGATATTACGTTGAACTTAATAAGTGCCCTGAAGACAAATGCATCTTTTAAACTAATTATCTGCACTGTGTATTCTATTTAATATTAAAATGATACTGATTAAATAAAATCAATCACATTCCTCTGTAGTCACACCTCACGTTTGATTAAATACAAATATACAGTTCCTATATTAATTCTGATTAAAAATATATTACATTTAGAATTATACAGTCATGATAATTTTCAAAAAGCTAAAACATTTACTCTGTTAATCCTTGATATTTAGAAATCATATACAGAAGAGTATAATTGAAGTAATATAATATCTGAATTTGTTCTCTAACAAGTTTCTTGTTTGTCCTTTACCTGGATACCATAGTTTTCTTATTGTAACTTAAGGGTAAACCACTTATAGGCATATTAGTTTAATATACCCTCTTTGCCTACACACCTTGATTATAAGTGAGCTTTTGTATACATTGTTTCATCCCTCTTATTCTTGGAAAGAATTTTTAGTGTTGCTGTCAGATACTTGAGTGTTGCTAGAGATAATTCTCTGAGTAGGTGGCTTTCTCTCTTACACATTTATGACTTTTTGACCCGCTGTGCTTTCAATTTTGCCTTATCCTGTTACTTATTCTTAGTCAACTGCTTTCACATTCTCAGAGAAGTAGTGACAAACTTTCTACTATTTCCTTACTCTCTTGTCACTACTTCTCTGCCAACATCACTCACTCTCAGTAGATGACCCATAATCCCACTACCTTAAGAAGGAAGAAGGCTGTAACACGAATATCCATAAATTACCAATTCTCCACACAAGTGGTAGCAAAGTGCCAGCTAGGGGTTAATTTCATCCTACAGTGTGTTTTGGGGAAAGAATGCCTTAAAACAGGGTCCTCATAACCCAAATTGGCATAATTTTTGTTTTTTGTGTCATCAAGCCATATGATTCAAATATATCCCCAGCCTCTATTATTATTTTTCCATTATATGTGCAGAAATAGATATATTTTATTAAGTTGAATCTTTTATATATAAATTGCAGGTAGTATGACATTACATCACTAAATATGTCAGCAGGCATCTTGTAAGATTAAGGACAATTTTTTATACAATTTCCATACTATTATCACACATAGGAATATTAACGATAATTCCATAATATTAATCACTATCCTGTCTATTCAAATGCTTAAATATATCTCAAAAATGTCTTTTATAGGTTTTTTTTTGTTGTTGTTGTTGTTGTTTTTGGTGCTTGAGGTGGGGTGGACCATATCCATTTAAGATTTGTGCATCACACTTGCTGTTACTCTAAACCATTTTGACAACTATAATCTTTTCACTTGGCTTTCCAGTGCCTTGCTCTTTACAGACGGGTAAGGTGAACATAGACTCTTCCAAAGATAGAAGGCATCTGTGACCTATGTCCTGGAGACTGTTTGATGGGCATCCTAATTTTTGCTTGAGAGTCTCTGGGACTTTCCTTGGCCCATGGCATAGGATAGGATAAGGAATCACAGGATAAGGCAATTACTCTGGATTAGAGGGAGAGCAAACATAGACTATAATAGAGATGGAAGAATTACACTCATGTCTTAAAATGTTTATTCAGATCTAAGCTTGAACTAAGAGCTGAGAAGAAAAAAATAGGAAAGCTGACAAAAAATTGAGGTGATGTAGATTGAAATTAGCACATTTTTCCACCCCCCGTTATCTCAAGTGTTATATAGACTGATTTGGGCTCAAAAGTCAAGAATATTACTGAAGTCAGAAAGCTTTCTTTGAAAGTTCTATGAAATCTGTTTTCATCCATCTGAGAAATGGCAATTACTTCCATAGGGTTTTGCTGTTCATGGGATAGTTAACCTAAGTTCATCCTTTCAGACTTCATGACTTATTTTGATGAAAAATCTGCAGCTAAAACATTTTTTACTTACATGATAAAAATATCTTCTAAATAGAGTTGTATTCCTGGACACTTCAAATTCCTCTGTGGCTTCTCTAGACCCCTTCTTTTTCTGATCCACTTTTGTGTGCACTGGATCCTTCTAGTCCTCTATGCTGAGTAGCTGGGAAGTCGCTTCTGTTGCATTAACCTCCATGTAGCTATTTATTCTTCTGTTTCTCGCTGCCTTCTTGGACTTACACTGCATCAGGGAGTAAACTAATGTCTATGTTCTCAGATTTTTCAGACCCATCTTGGATATCCATTTAGAGTCACTTTCACATAGCCCAGTCCTGGGGGTAAACTGGATTATACTGACCACTCCCTCCTTTTCAGAGACACACAAATGTCTAAGACCTTCTAACTTGACATCCAGCTTCATACTTAGCCCCACCACACACACCCCACCATTAGAAAACTTTATCTAGTATTATGTGTGTGATTTGTCAACAATTCTTCCAAATTTGCCCTGAGTCCCATAGGGCATAGACTTTTGGAATTGTTAACCTTTTATTCTGTTTTTTGCCAGAAACAAAGCTCCTTACTGTGACTCAGAAAAGGAGGGCTGGTGAATAATTGAAGATGCACTCTCATGAAGACCAGTTTCAGTGTGTTTAACTTCATCTTTTTTTTTTAAGTTACTCTCAAGTAAAATTTTTCTACCTACTTAATAATATTTTCACTTTTTACTGATGCTAATGGAATTTTTTTTCTTATTTCCAGAAAAATCCCAAAATAAAATGCACACCATAAGCTATGTCTCCATCAAAAAGATACTGAGTGTTTTTAGCAAGGAATGAGAATTGGACTGGAAAATGGAAAAGTGGGCCGGGTAAATGGGCAACTCAAAAAATTAGTAGGGATGGTTTATGAAGGATAATGGAACTTAGAGATGAGTTCTGATTGCAAAACCTGAATGTAATATATCAGTATTATTTCAGAGAGGTATATGAAGCAGGTCAACAATATTGACCAATCTCCTTTGGGTGGATGAAGTTGCATTTTGGACAAGTACTTCACAACCCAAATATGACAAGGAAATGCATTTTATATTTATTCATTTATTTCACAGAAGAAGAGTGGTATAAGAACCTTTGTTGGCATTTGTTTTCAGTTTGACTTTTGTTTTTTTTCAGCTTTAATATGAACTTCTCTTTTTCAGCAGACTCTGTCCACTTCAGGAGTTTCAGTCCCTGAGGTGCGTAAGCAAAAAAGGTTTTCACATTTGGCCATATAGGTCATTATACATCTTTTCATTGTTATAAAGAACATTTGGGGCTATCTCAGTGACCTACTAATATCAATTTGTTAGTTCATTTTGTCTCATATTCTGATATTTGGAATTGGGGATCTTTATATTTTCTTTTTTTTTTAAGTTTATTACTATTATTATTTTATTTACTGTGAGAGAGAGACAGAGAGCAAGTGTTGGAGAGGTAGAGAGAGAGGGAGAGACGGAATCTCAAGCAGGCTCTGCACCATCAGCACAGAGCCTGACACGGGGCTAGAACTCAAACACCACGAGATCACTACCCCAGCCAAAATCAAGAGTCAGAAGCTGACTGATCCACCCAGGCACCCCAGGGAGATTTATATTTTCATGATAGGATTGACTTGAAACTGTTTCAATCTACTTTTGTGACAAACATTAGGAAAGCAAAAAGTTATATGAAACAAATTATACAGAGAAAAATAAAAGTTATTTTGCAAAGAGTTTTGACCTGTGTATAAGAATAGCATCATTCCTATTTGTCATGTTAAAATGTAAATACCTTACAGAAAACCCAAACGATGCAAAGTTCTATACCATTAAAATGTAGTTTTAAGTGATAGTAGATTGAGAAACTCTTGCTCACTTTGAAGTGCCCATCATTTTAAAAAAGAATGTATCTGCATTAATCAGTTAGCATATGACATTATCTAGGAATGTCACTGGAATAAAATATAGTTACAGAAAAAATGACTTCTATTTTGAAAATAAATATAGGTATTCCCATACCATTTATTTTCAGTAAAGTGTTAGCTTTGTCTTTGCATTAATAAAGGAAAGCCTCCACATTTTTCTGTGACCCTATTCTATTCAGTTGTTTCTATCTTTTTTTAAATGTTTATTTATTTTGAGAGAGAGGGAGGGAGGGAGGGAGGGAGGGGCAGAGAGACAGGGAGATGGAGAATCCCAAACAGGCTCTGTGCTGTTAGTGCAAAGCATGACGTGGGGCTCGATCCCACAGATCGTGATGTCATGACCTGAAGTGAAGGCAAGACCCGGATGCCCCTATATTATATTTCCCCTAAATTATAATTTGAATTGGCCTCCTTAGGAAAAATATTATTTATAATATATGAATACTACATAAGGATATGAGTTTCTTTAGAGGAAAGCATAATTGTACAAAAATGTAGTAACCTCTCTTCCCTACCCACACCCTGCAAAAAAGTTTTCCAATTAGTGTAGCCTGCTTCATGAGACTTTTAAAACTTTGATTTTGTAACCAGACATATACTTTAAAAGATACTGGAAATATGTTTGAAAAAGTAATGTTTCTAATCTAAGAGAAATATTAAATTGTTTTTGTATTCTTTAAGTCAATTGATACCATTATTATCATGATGGTTATGAAATAGAAATGTTGAATTACAGACTCAAGTGACAAACGTTCTCAGAAAGTTTATCACGTAGTTCAGTATCAGTAAGAGAACTGATTTTGTATATATCAGGTGTTTGAGTTTATTTTTGCCCGTGAATATAGGCACTGCATTTGAGATTTAAAATTTTCTCCTTAGACTTGATAATTTCCACAGATCTCCCATATTAAACTGTATAATCTGTATCATATAGATAGAATAAATAGACCAAACTGCACTTTTCATAATACACTTTTCTCATTTATTAAAAAAAAAAAAACAATTTCTTCTACTGTAAAGTTATTAAAAGTCTTCATACATTGCCTTTTATTTTCTGGCAAGATATATTGGTTTATATTAATTTAGACTTTTCACCATTGTCTGAAATCATCATATGAGTTTTTTTCAACTATGTTGTTCCAAAAATTTTCTTAAGCCCATATGTGGATGTTTACACTGGTGAGTGTGTGAACACACACACACACACACACACACACACACACACACGTATCCCTTTGTTCAACTATCAGAAACAATAGCTTGTTAAGTAATTGTTAGGTTAAGATGTATGTGGGGGAACTTATGGAAGGATATAGACATACCTTAAACATTCAATGTGAAATATGTACATGTATATTTGTTGGCTACACTTTTGATGTAGGCTAAAGGGCTTTTCTATGAGGCCATATCTCTTGTTTGGAAATTGTATATAGGCTTTCTTACATATATCACAGTCTTATCACCCATGGTAAGTTTCAGTTATCAATTGTTGTGAAGCAAAAGTAAAGCATTCCCTATTTCATGAAAAGATATTCATTTATTTATGAAAATAATTGTCTTCAATTATTTTCAATTTTTCAAAGTATAACAAAAATTCAGGGATCTGTAAAGCAATTTGAGTGTAAAATAACTCTTAATATTTTTTAAAGTTTATTTGTTTTGAGAGACAGAGCATGAGCAGGGGAGGGGCAGAAAGAGAGAGAGAGGGACAATCCCAAGTAAGTCCCATCCTGTCAGTGCAGAGCCTGACATGGGACTCAATCTCACAACCATGAGATCATGATCTGAGCCAAAATTGAGTCACTCACTTAACTGAATGAGACACTCAGGCACCCCAGTAATTCTCAATTTTTATTAATTTTCAAAGCTTTTACAGTCATTGTGTCTTAATCCAACTGGACCACTCCTTCTACACACACACACACACAGACACACACATACACACACACACACATCATGTATTATTGTGGTTCCAAAGAATGCAAGTTATTTTCACAGAAACAACTTATTTTACACTCAGGATTCAATGGTTTGAGTAATAATTAAATCACATGGTTATAATAATAAGATAAATTCTACTTGGAGCTGGTATAAACAGATTGGGGGCAGCATAGTAATCACTATGTGGAGCATTTAACTCAGCTGGTTGAAAGACATGATGAGTATGAACAAACAAGAGTGCTACCTCCTTGCTTTTAAACTTTGGCTCAACATGTGCGTGGTGACAGTTACAGAGAGAGGAAATGGAGAGTGAGTGAGGTACGTATGCACACACATACTTTTATAAAGTCACAACCATATACTGGCAAACAGCCCAAAGCAAAAGATTTTGGCATGGGCCTTCTCATTCCTAAATTTCATTGCTTCCAATCAGTATTTCTTGAACAGAAATTTTGTAAGTGGTTTGCACCCAATATGAAATTACCCCAAGATAAAATAGTCACATTGTGTGTGATGTGTGAAAACCAGGACTTGGGGACCAAGTTATAAATTGTACCTCCGGGTTTTGTTGGTGAGTAGCACCTCTAGGTCGTTTAAGACTAGCTTTCATTCTAATTGTTTGCCTCTCGTGTGTCCCAAAAGACCCCACCTGGATCACAGCACCACTTATCCCCAGAAATGGGGACTCAGCAGACAAATAAAGTACTACCAAGTAAATGAAGTACTTCTTCACAACACCCATCTTGCACTCCTGCAGTGTAAGCAGCATACATGTGATAAGTTAAATGAGAAAATATAGCAATATACTTTTTTGTATTTTAAAAATTTTGCCATTTGCTAAGTGCCTATTTTATGCTGGTATCTTTATCTACATTTTCTTAATTTATGGTCACAAAAATCTTCTCATTTTATAGATGAACTCAGTGGTGGCTTAGAGATAGCAAATAACTTGCCCAAGTTTGCATGGCAAATAAAATACAAATCTGGGATTCGGCCTCCAAGCCCATACTTAGGACTTTTCCCAAAGTAGTTTTAGTTTTTTAATAAGTCCTTACTTAACTAAATTAAGAAAGAAATGAAAACCTTTATAATATATCAATTATTATATCTATGTTTAAAGCTTTCTAAACTTTTTTTTTTTTAAATCAAGACTGCTTTGCTACTCAGCCATAATAAATTTTGCTGCAACTTCCAAGGATTCCTAGTAGATTTAGAGCTTTTGTTATTTTCCGAGTGAATTTGTTTCTCTCGGCAGGGAATGACTCCAGTTTCACAATAAGGTCACAATAATTAAAAGTGCAGTTCTGCAGCTGTCAGCCTTGCTTTCATGGAACCCATAACCCTTCTAAGCACCAATGAATTTGTTGGCACGTCTGCTTCCACGAGATCTTTTATATTGGGAATATCTAAGTGTTACCTTGGGTTCAAATTCTAGAGCTCCTGGAAAATTTCTGTGGCCTAGCTCCAGTGGCAGAAAGGACTAAGTCTCCCCTAAGGCAGGTAACTGAGAAAGCAAGTTCCAGGACTAGCTAGAAGGATACTGTTGCAACAGTGCACCAGCCCACCCTTTTGTGGCTTTGTACCAATGGAGGTACTTTGCTGCTGCCTGTTTCTCATGCTGAGATTGGACAAAAAGAAGAAAGCCCTGTGCTGGAGGTAATCATCACTTGCTGCTTGTAGTTTGTGAGTGATCGATAACAGCAGGCTCAAGTATTGTGGTAAACATCCCTTTTGTGAAAGTGGTTTTCAGCAATGCACGAATACTCTACCTCTGAGAATCAGCATGATATAAAAAAATTTTTTTTTAAAGCACAGGTTTAAAGGGAGGTCTTTTTATTTCATTTATTTCATCTTTCTGTTTTCTGTGAATGGTCCTTTCGGCTTTTTTTGTTGGTTAATTATGGTGATTATTCTTTTGGAATTCTATTACAATGTATTCCCCAGTTAAGATCTGTTGTACTACTTAGAGAGTCTGAGGATCACAAAACACTGAATTCTATATTCAAAATGTCTGCATAGGAAACACAAATGGCTGATATTTGAAAATCCTGAACTATCAATAACTATATTTTATTTTTTGTAGTCATATTTTCTATATTTTGGGGGATAGAGTAGCTCTTTTCAGGGTTTGAATAATTTCTATTGATTAAAGCAATAATTTTCCAACTCTTTTTATATCTTGGATAATTTATCTGGCAGAACAAAATTTGTCTTGATTATAATAAGGTAATTTATTTTGTTATTTAAAGCCCAAAAACTTAAAAAAAAAAAGCAGACGGTGAAGTGGTGAGCACTGACCTCTATTACCAGAAATCAATATTATCCTGAATAATGATGCAAAATAAGGTTGGTGAGTTCTTCTTGAAACTTTTCAGTAACTTCAATACTGGGAGTAATTCTCTTAAATATCACAATAGAGATCTGCCATTCAGAGTTAACCCCCACAATAGGCTAATGAAATTTCTGTGGACAGCAGATCTTTCAAAGATGCAATTGCTTCCCCTTCCTGTCCCTCATATGAAATGAAAGAAGTAAAGATTTTCGTAGTGGAAATAGGAAAAAGCATCCAACTATCATTCTGTGAGCTTATGCTGCTTAACTAAAGTATAGTGGATATTTCATGGAGATTGCTCTACAATTTGGAAATAAAGATGAAACAAATGAGTACAATAAAATGATAACTCTGGGGAAAAACTAAATGCTTATGAGTTTCTCCTGTTTACAATTTTCGGCCTTGAGTAATTCCACGCATTCTACCCACTAGACATATTTCCCTTAACCAAAGAAACCATTTGGTTTCTTTGGGGTGTGTGTATGAGTTCGTGTGTGTGTGTGTGTGTGTGTGTGTGTGTGTGTGTGTGTTTAAACAAATGTTTACTATTTTAGCATTATCTGGATTATATAATAAAATTCACATGCAGGTGGAGGTACTGAGGATTTTTCTATTAACTTGTTGTATACCTCTTTCTTATAATTTTAGTTTTCAAAAATAAAATCTTAGTTGAACACTCAGTGTAGGATTTACATTTTTTTAATATCTTACAAAGGTTACTATAAAGCATTTGTTTCATCTACTCCAGTTTACTCAGAAAGATGACTCCCTGGAGAGACCTGAAGCTACTTAATCAACTGCTTTTTGCTAGTTGGAGGGTCTTACCAGCAATGGAATTTCCCCAGCTATGTGCATGGCTAAGAATAAAATCAAGTTAATAGATAATTTGGTA